ATCGTTTTGAGTTGCGGTCGGTCGCAGTTCAGGCGGTTTCAGACCGGGCTTGACTTGTAGCCCGATTCCGAACCTGTGGACAATGACAGTAAGCATGCAAACAAAAAACAATAGAGGCAATAGAGTCGGCCATGAGTAGATAGTGACTTCTCCACCCCGAACACCGACGCAGCTCCGCAATGTATGGGATGGCAAGACTTCCTTGCGCGATCCGGACAGCCAGGGCTCAGGCTTGTAGCGATGGCACAAGGATCCTATGATGGGAGAGCTCTCGAGACCTGTAGACTAGAGTAGCCAGGCATCATGTGGGAACAGGCTGAGCCGAGATAGCAGCCATTCCGGGAATCGAAATCCCTTACTCCAACCTTGGGCACGAGATTCAACGAGCCTGCGAACTCCGATGTGCGACAGAAGTTCTGACAGACACAAGCATAATATTTGGGCCTTACAGTAGCACTTACCTATACTATTTTTTAGATATGTTGGGTGGGCTCCTTATGACAATTATCGTATTATATACCCCAAACCCTATTCTAGCTTTTTTCAGGCCCCTTGATTGGCCATTCAAGCACCCTTCTCTGCATGGCCAAGGCAAAGTCCCAGTGCCACAAAATGGAGACGCAAAGTCTGCAGGTGGCTTTTCCTATAAGCAGTCTAGCACAGTTGAACGTTTTTGCTGTTGTATTTAGTTGTGTATATGCGAGCCATTGACAGGAGTTGGAAACAAGAAATGCTCCAATTCTTGGGGTGAGGGCTGAGGGCTTAGCTTAGATCGTCAAAAAGCCTCGCATAGTCTTGACATGCTTTTCCGTAGTCCTGGCAGGAGACTGGGCAGTGGCTGACCAGGACAGGAAATCGGGATGTCAACAGGGAAGCTCCGCTTTGTCCAAACATGGGAAGAGGTTCTAGCTCCTAGGGACTGTGGACATACGGTTGTGGCCGCCTGGCCCCGTGGTGCGTGGTAGAGGTTCTCGGGCAAGCACGGGGCAAGGCGCGATCAAGTGTGCAAGGTGCACGGTTGTCAGACACTCTCTTCGCTTTAAACGCCGCATGTCAGGGAGTATTTAAAGGTTCATGGCTCATGGGACTTAACCAGTTGTGCAGTACTGTCGGTCAGCGCTTCTGCTTGATACTGTTACACCGAAGACTATCGAAGACATAATTATTCTTCATTGCGCTGCTCTGGCCAGGATTCGTGCGACATTCCACGGCATTGACACAGCAGATGCTCCTGTCCCAGGTGGTGAGGTTTTCGTCATTGGGTGCTGTCCGGCTGCGAGTTCCCACCAAGCCATTGTACTGCCGGTGCCAGAGCCCACGTTGCAGACACATGTCTATGATTAGTAGTCCCCAGTCGTCCTCCTCACACAGCCCGAGAGATGTTGCTCTCTTGCTCCATCAGCTTCGTCTTTCTGGTTAAGTTGCCGTTTCTCGCTACGTCGTACAGTCATCCTAGCCCGGTTTTGCTGCGGTGTCGGCCCTCCGCTACAGTAGTTACGCCGCCCATGGTCTAGGCAGCTAGGTCGGTGTAAGTTGGAATTTATTCTACGGGGGGCCAGGTCTCGGGATAGTAGAACGTTCATAACTCTCAATTTTTGATTTTGAGGCCACCACGACCAATGCTCAATTTTTTTTGTTGAGCTTCGGCATCTAGCCATGGCTCGGGCGCTGTTGCGTGTTGATGCCCTTCATGCAAGTTGAGAGGCTCAAGCTTGTTGTGGCATGGCATACCGTACACGGCCCCGGCAACATCTAGCTAGATCTTCGGTGCAGCAACACCAAACCGAAACTGCGCGGCAACCCTGAACCCGTCATAAGCGCTCAGCCACTACCCTCAACACCCTGGCCCTGAGCCCTGCCCGGGAGCCACAAGGTAGCCCGACACGATGGTTGAAAATAAAGAAATGAAGCATTCCAGTCGAGTGTACCCTGCAGAGGAGACTGTACCACACGTTTTGAATTCTGGCCACCCGTGTCTGCTGCTTTAGCAGGCAGTGCGCACGGCTTCTTTCAGCCATGGGGCCCGGGGCGGCCTCTCTCTAAGTCGCCATGGACGAGGAACGTGGGACAGTTTTGGGATTTGCAGTTAGAGGGCAAGGTTTTTCTTCACAAGGCACAAATCCAGCTTGCTTTGGCTGATCCTCAACTCCTCGGCGCCCTGCTTGTCTTTAAACCAAAGCTCGCTTCCATCTCGGCAATTCGAATTTACACCACGAGGAAGGTCGTCAGAAGAGCAAGCTTTGCTCATAAAGGACCCCCAGCACCCATATCTCCTAACTCCCGTGCTATGCAAGATCTCGCGTGTGATCAATTAAATCCTTGAGCCTGTGCCAGTACTTCGGACATGTTTTTATTGTCACAGGAACATAACAAGTAGGAGCCTCAGACAACAAGGGACCTTCGTATTGAACCCAAGAGGCTAGGATATGGGGGGGGAGTATGCGGCTTGAAGGACCCGTAAAGGACCGTAAAGAGGCCTCCGCAATTTTTTCGGTGGGTCTTTATAACATCCTATACTATTTTGGGGGTTCCTCATTATATTTATACTATAATGGGCCCCGAAACCCTACTCTGATTATCGAGGCCCCTATATCATGGAGCCTTACTATAGACCCCCTATAAAACCATTTAAAAGGAACACTTTTCAAATCATTAAGGCCCCTACATTGTAGACCCCTTATAGAACCCTTTAAAGGAACCTTAAGGCCCCTACCTTAAAGGAACACTATTCTACTCATCAAGGCTCCTACGTTGTTTTTCAAGTCTCCCCCTGCTCAGGACCTTCGCTTCCCCGAAGGGGAAGCGACTCCGAGACCAAGGCCTCCTCCCGAGAGAATTGGTTTTGGACACAGACTGCCTATAAGGGCTACTGTCAGGGCTACTATAAGAGCTACTGCAAGAGGTACTATAAGGGCTACTATAAGGGTTACTATAAGGGGAACAATAAGGGCTACTATAAGGGTTACTATAAGGACTACTATAAGGGCTACTATCAGGGTTACTATAAGAGTTACTATCGCTTTCGGAAGTTGTTCCCTCGTGCTGCTGGGCACGTCGACTCAAGAGCTTCCATAGAGTCATGGTGGATAGTGGACCTGCAAGTACCACTTCAAGGACAGTACAGATGACAGTAAACCTCAACACTCTTTAGCCGCAGATGAAGCAGTGCCCGGCCACTTTGGCGCATTGCCTTGGTTCGAGAGTGCTGTAGCATTTAACAGTCCAGTCCCGGGCCCGATTACGTACTACATAAGGACTGATGTATTGGCGACTCTAAGTTGGGAGCTTCCGAATATTTGGGGTACCTTATACTAGGGTCCTTATAATAAGGATCCTACTGGTCAGGGTGCTATATTAGGGTCCCCCATTTTCGCAACCTCCCGTGTATTGGCGACTCTAACTTAGGTATGTGCTTGAGAAGGGTTGTGGGCTTTGCACGTGCGCCGGATTCTTCGAGATCTCTCTGTCACCTTGGAGAGAGTTCGCTGTAAGTTGAATGTTTCTAGTCCTCCTTAGTCGATCGGTTGAACTGGGCCGAAGGGTTGTTGAAAACGTTTTTGATCTTGCATTCCAGGGAGTTCGAAGACATGTCCAGACATGTGATTTCTATGCAGTAGATTCAGTAGATATATGATATATGTGAATGAATACAAACTTGGTCAAATAAGATGCGTTGTATCTGCATGCAGCAACCTGCTTCTTTTAGCAGGAGATGCAGGTGAGCGTAGCACCATTTTGGATCAACTCGCCGGAGAAGACTCTGACCAAGAGGGTGTCACTTCTTGAATTTGAAGACGTAGACTGGAAATCCTTCATCTTTCTCGACGGCTCCATACAAATCTGCATCCATCGAGTTTCGGTTACCCCAATCTACACGACTTTGCAAAGCCCGCGCAGGTTCAAAAACTCTTTAGACGACTGCGGCAAGCACTACCTTGCCGACCAAGATGAGGCCGGATAGTGCCGTCGTACACGGAGCCAACTCTTCCCTGCCTCGCTGACGGAGCTGGCGAGCTGTACGCAGTGCTGCACCACAGGGTCACAATATAGGGGCTTTACTAATTAGAATAGGGTTTTGGGACCCATTATATTATAAATGTTACAGGGAACCCCATAAATAGTACTGATAATTACTATATTCAGTGCCGTAGTACTGCTTTGCAGCCATCGCTTGCAGAACTGCGGGTTTGGAACTATGCCTTCAGGTTTAGGTCAGGCCTGAGCGGACACTATGTGTGCTCTGGGGATTTAACCACTAGCGTCGTAGCCCCCTGTACTGGTAGGTTCTGATATAGCTTTAGTTTGAAAGTATACTGTCCTTAGAATTAATGATATTTCTGTTTTAAATGCCCTGTATACTTGCGACGAAGGAAAACCGACCAGCAGAAAAGAAGGCATTCAACCTGCAAAGGGAACAGCGAAGAGCCAGCTATGCAAAGGTTCCCTAATGTCCGAGTTGCGAGAGCGTAAACCCTAAAACATAGACGTGCAGGCGGCCCGGGACGAGGATCGCGACCCTAAGCCTAAAAGATTCTGTTGTTGGGATCCTTACGCTCCGAAACCTTATGGCACCCTACACCCCTGAACCAAGGTCTGTCCGTGAGTGCTAAAACCCCTAAACCCTAAAATGTCAGAGTGCGAGCACCGAAATCCTAAAATGTCACCGTCCACAAGCATTTATGCAGCGACCTACAGGTACTATCGGGGCCTTAATAGTTACCTCTGCTATTTTGGGGGTTCCTTTTTATAAGTACAGTATAATGGGCCCCAAAACCCTACTCCAATTATTCAGGCTCCTATATTACCTAGTTGGCATACATACATGCAAGCTTAGCGGCTCACAGTTTAGCAGCCGGCGGAGCGTGGTAAGCCTGAGATGTCAAATGTTGGATCTGAGCACGCCGAAGAACCTGCATAGTCTTAACCAAAGACCATCAAGTACTTCCTTAATCGATGTAAACCGCATCCGAAACCCTAACAGGACTCCGGAATGCCAATGGATGCCGTCCCTTGAGTATGAAGGCACCAACTACTGCTGCAAAAGGATACTTGCCGGCTGCGTTTGCCTCGGTGCCGGAGCGGCAGTGCTCCTTCGATCCAGCACCCTCAGCTTCAGCTACGGCTACGGTATCCACCTTACAAGTACCGACAGCGATGCCGCGAGCAACACCGTATGGCACGGCATGGAGCGAGATGGCGAGGGAGAAAGCAAACCTGTCGACTCTGCGGTGTCGCCGCGGCCCTTCGCAACGATGCTGCCGATCAAAGCGACGACAGTGTCGCCGTGGCCCTCCACTACGAGGCTGCCTGCCAAGAAGACGACTTCAATCGGCACTTCGATTTGCAATGCCACCAGGGAATGTGGTACATGGGTGAGGACACAAGAACCGAAGTTTCAGAGCCAGCAAATTGGAGGACAACCATTCTACAATAAGCACATCGTAATGATTGGGGACTCACGGATGCGGTACCAATATTTGTCCCTGGCTTACTTTTTCACACACGGTGCTTTTGCCACAGGAAACGATTTCACTTTTCTGATTAATGCAAAGCAGTTCACGGAGAAGCTTGCTGAGCCATGGAATTTCTGGTTCAATAAGACGAACCACGTCTTGAAGCACGAGCTGTGCAACTGCTACCGACCAAAGGGCAGTCTGGCCAATGCTGTGGAGAATCGGTGTCTGAGTAGCTGAGTGGATACGCTTTACACCTTTTGGAATAACTATCTATAGAACTAAAAGTGTACACTTTTGGGGGCTTATGAACTCAAATAAGGTATTACCGCCATCCCGACAAGATGGTCTCGGTCACATACTTGCAAAAATACGGGCCGGCTTTGATGCAAGGGCACTGGCATTCTGACGGCACAAGCATCGACTTGTGCAACTGTCAGTGTGGGCCCAGAGCATGCAACCCCTTGATCGAAACTCCGAAGTGGACTGCGAAAAACATGTCCCAGCTCGCGAGGATCGTCGCGGATTTGAAGCCTGACTACTTGGTGTTGCAACCGGGATGGGAGGAGTTCCAAGCCTGGTCGACGGATGATTTGTTCCGGTTTTTTTCGCTGGTTCAAAATTCCTGCCCGGCCGCGCAGCTGTACTTTAAAACTCGGCTTATCAAATCAACAGAGGATGCCGCTGGCTTCCTTTCATGGGCCAATAGCTACTACAGGGACATGTACAAAAGGCTGAATTTCTCGCAGCACGGCTGGCATATGTGGGATGTTTCGACCATTACGGCATCGTGGAAGGCTAATGACACGAAAGCCACCTTCATGTGGGATCAGTGGCATTACAGCCTTGCATCGAACAACGCGCTGAACAGGTTCATGTTGCAGACTCTTTTTGGTGTCGATGTGCAGCAACTTGACACGTGAGAGTTGCTACTCCGAGCAAAACTCGACTTCGGCGTTACTGCACTCGAGGTGTTGCTAGGGTGAGCAATGTCTCAGGGGTTCGAGTCGTAATGTAACTGTCAGAAGCCAGCATGGTCGTGGCCGTCGTCATGGTAGTCATCATCACGATGGATCCCTTACCATTCCTTACGCCTACTCGTAAAACCCTGCAACGCGGGCTCTGTCCTCGCTAGGTAGGAGGCAAAAAATCGTAACACCCTCAATAATGATGAGTCTCCTGATAGTGAAATCTTCCCGCGGCCAGCAATTTTTCATCTACCCGCTACACGGACCCGCCTCGGCCGGATCAGGAACTGAGGCTGTGCAGTTCCCGGGGATGAGCGCTCTCTCCGGCCCATAGTCCCATCGTCCTAGTCCAAGCACGCGCGACCCAAACCCTGGACTCTGCTAGAGTGTGGTGGGGGATGCGATTGGTGGACATGGGGGATGATGCGCGGTGAGTGTGTGTAGTAATGGTGGTAACGGTGTGGCCATGCTAGTGCTGCTAGCATTGGCGGTACTCGCAATGGTCGTGGTAGTCTACCCTGGCACTAAATGTGAACTATGTTTTCTGCGGTGGGTTCTATCAGAATTTGGCTGGGATCGAATTTTCTACGACGCACTCTACATTAACAACCTTACTACGGTTGCTGAGTTGGTGTTGGCAAAGTATAAACCACTCCTCTGGCTGGTTAATAGCACCAAAAGTATCAGTGATAGTGGGTGCCCCGAAACCGTAGAGTTCCCCGCCGGGCAGTGTTAAGTGTTACGTGGAGGCTTAATGATCCTGGGAAGGAACTGTCGGAATCGCAATGCCACACGAGCACCAGCAGCATTTCCATGGCAGCCATGTGCCCGAGCCCTGTTGCCCTGCATTCAGGGCGACAGCACGGACGCTGCAAAGGACTCCTGCCCATGGCCTCAGGGGTTGGGGCCCGCGTCGCCTCAGTTTGTTTATGGGCTGTGTCATGAATCAGATTCATATTCTGGTGTATCACATCGGCTGGTCTGACTGGTCACTGTCCAACCCAGACCAAAGCCTTGATCAAAGTAAGACGACCTCGACAGCTTGGGGCTTCAGGACTGCAATTCAAGTTGCGGTCCCAGCACAAAAATCGCTTAGGGTGGCTGGAATTCATTAAGAACTGTCTTGAGGACTCACCCCTGAACCATTGATGACCGTGTTTTGCAACTGAAAACAATCGGAGTGAGGGCAGAAAAAAGTGTGGGTCAACCAGGTTCACTGTTCGTCCAAGTCGCAGACGTAGTGGTAGTGATGGCAGCAGTAGGAGCACAAGTAGTAGCAGTAGTTGTCGTCGTCGTAGTCGTAGTCGTAGTCGTTGTCGTGGTGGTCGTCTTCGTCGCAGCAGTGGTAGTACTGCATGCTTGTAGGAGTGGGGGCTGTCGTCGTACTCGTAAGCGTAGTGCTGGCGTTGGCGGTGTGATAGTGGTAGCTGTAGTCGCAGTCGTAGTCGTTGTGGTCGGCGTCGTCGTAGTCGAAGTAGTAGCAGTAGCTTAGTAGTGTTTGCTGCAGTTGTAGCACTATAGGAAGGTGTTGGACTTGGAGCGGCCGAAACACCAGCACCACATTCGGACAAGCTGTGGCAAATCTGTCAAAAGCCGTGAGCATTTCCTGACCACCCTCGAGTCAGCAGCTTAGCAGTCATGTGAGTGGGAAGTAGTACCAGGAGTCGGTCGCAACCAACAACCACGCCACCGGCGTGGACTTGATGGACATCTCGACCCTCGGGCATTTCGGGGGAATAGCCGCCTTCAACCCGTTGTTTTCCAAGCACGGTCCATCACGGAACTCTACACCGAAGATGCTCTGCACTGACAATGTTCGTAGATTAACAGGGGTGGTCAATACCCAATGGCATGCAAGGAATGCTGACCCAGATGTGGCGGCCATGTCCACTGATGCGCTCGAAACCCTGCAGGAGGCACTGCATCAGTCATGAATCGACGCTGTTCAGCTCTCGGTAGCAAATAGGAATTACTATACGCCGGCGGTGAGCATTTCTCTCAATAGCTGGAAGCCGTATCAGTGACGGCCTGCACTCGTAGCACCGTGACAAGCGACGATCTCCAAATTTCAGTTTTAGCCGACAGCGGTCATCCGTGTCGGCTTAACCCGAAAGCATCCGACGTTCTGATTACTTTCTTGATACGCAGCAATCCCAGCAGTTGTGAGTAATCCTTGGGTTCTCGTACTCTACGCACCAAGGATCAGTAAAGCGCGAAGTAGAAGCTCTGGGGACACCAGACAGCCACTGACGATGCAGCCAGACCAGCCCGCGGATGGCGGAGAGCCATAGAGTATGCTATAGAGCAGACCATGTCAAGCTGCAGTCGCTCGCGAGGCTGCGGTTCGGTTGTACGAGATCGTGGTGCGGCCTGCAGAGGTTCAGCTTAATTAATTAACAGCCATTAATATTGCTGTTCTTATCACATCAGTTGTGTAAGTATTTTTTGAACACCAATCCCAAGATTCTTGTTTCTTGAGCTTTGATTGAGCCTCGCACATTGCGCAAAGTCACATTTCCAGAACTAGGCAAAGGGTTCTAGGAATGAATCGCGGATACCAATGACTCGGTGATGGCAATGCATGGTTATCTATGGTTTAGGAAGTTTAGGGCTTAGTTGGCATGAGAGGTTTCAAAGGCGGATGGGCATTGAAACCCTTTTGACAACCTACAAGGAGACAGACGAGCAAGCGATGCGATGGACTCGAGGATTCAAAACGGAAGCAGAAGCTTCAACTCGTCGGTAGCCGGTGCATCTGTTGCAACTGAGGCCAAGGATGGTATGTTGGGAACCGAAGTCACTAGCACCTACAGCCAGAAGTCCTAATCCTAAGCATCTAGGCACCCCGTCTGACTTGGAGCCGAGGAAACTGAGCCCTCGTACGGGAACGTGCCCAGCAGCGGCACGATCTTTGGGACTCGAGTGTCTTTGCTGTGAGACCATCACTGTAGCAGGTTCCGCTGAGGCAGTTCAGGCAATATTGCTCAGGCGCATTTGGTATGGTTGGGGAATTTATCGCAAAACTGAGGTCAAGCTCCGGCATGGAAATTCCTTGCTATGGGACTGTGTCAAGGACGTACCCATAGGCCCCGAAGTAGTTCCTTTTTGGGATTACCTTAATTATAGGATTCTATATATATAACCCCGAAAAAAGGAACTATTTTGGGGCCTTAGGCTATGTATGGGTAGCCATGTTAGCTGTCGATTCCCAGCTGATGATGGAGCAGAGCCTGGGTTCAAAAATGGTATGTAGTCGGTTCTCCGGTCCCCGTCTCCGCCCGAGGCGCCGGAGGTGGACGTGGAGCATGAGATAAGCTCCTCGAAGGGCGGATGGACGGGTTAAGTCTTAAAGGGAACTAAAGGATCTATAGGGTTCCTTAAAGGGAACCTTCTCGGCCTTTTGGCTATGATCAAGTGAATTTAAAGGGATCTTTAAGGTTTAGGGGTTTAGGGTTTAGGTTTAGGGTTTAAAGGGAACTCCAGAAAGTTGGAATATGGTTTCAGGGCAGGATACCCTATAATTTACCATAAAGGGTTTAGGATAATCATATTCCAACTTTCTGGCTTTTACTGTATATGGGTGATTGTCGAAATTATGGTCCTTTTTTGGGTCCCTATTAGAATACGGCACCTATTTTTTCGGGTACCCCAGAAGGGGCCATATTTTGGACAACCACCCATACAGGGGGCCTGAATTAGTTACCTATATTATTTGTGGGGGGCTCCTTTTGCAATTCTGGTATAGCGGGCTTCAAAACCCTATTCCAATTATTAAGGCTTTTATATTCTAGTACCCTTAAAGTGTCCCTTATGGATTATAGATCCCTTTAAAGGCACCACTACTCTAATTATTATGGCCGCTATATTACGGTTGACAGGGTCAGGGTCCCGGCATCCTGCCGACATAGCTTCGCTTGCTCTAAATGTCCATATTCCTCGAAGATTTCGGGTGTTGAGCTTGATTTGACAAGCTCTTCCGAATTTACAGCGGCGATCTGTTTCTTGAATTAAACCCGTTGGAATAGCAGTGGTTATCAGTGGTTTTCGGATTGGGGCCTTGGGGATGCAGAGCGGTTCAGATTTCCTTTACGTTCATAGTTTCTTGCAGAAGGTGCCGTGGTGTTTGCTGTGTTCATGTGGCATGCAGTCTGAGACGTCTTAGTCGCTTCGCAGCCCCTGGCGAGACGAAACATCACAGATGCACTGCTGGTCAACGCTTCATGGGAACAATTCCCGCAAGAAGCCCTGCTCGAAACTGCCACGTCATAATAATGTATTCTAATAGACTGTACGATTGCTGTACTATACTATTCTCTACTATATGCTATATACTATACTACCCAAAATGGAGGAGCACCGAACCGTTGAGGTGCCCTTGGCAACGTGTCCTCAAATGGCGACGACTCCGGTGAGCTGCAGCCTCAGAGACCGGCCTTCGTCGGATTTTGGGGGTGGAAAGGGGCGTTTCGGTGTGGCCAGGTCTGGATTTTGCTTTAGCTTTTTGAGTAATGGTTCATCATGTCAAATTAGGAGTGTTTTTGTTTGACAGAGCTTGGACGATTACATGCATGTTCGTTCCGATCCACGGTTGCTTCTCTGAGCAGCATGTAATCATAGAGGTGCGGTGTAGGCTTCATTGTGCCAGCGTCCATCAACATGAGCTCAATTCGTCGGTGAAGCCTGACCTTAGAAGGTGCTCTTGTGTTAAGGATGCAGGACCTGCTCGAAGCACATGTGCACCCTCGGCGCAGATGCTGCACAAGAGCCGAGTGGCCCAAGGGTGAACAAAGACCAAAACCGGTTTGGCCACAGCATGTGTTGTTCTGTGTGAACTGCTGCATGAGTTCACACTCGAACTGCTATGACATTGGACATGGTAATGATCCTGGAATATTCACGAAAGCCTCCTGACAGTGAGGTTGTCAACCTTCAGGAGCCTTGGCCATTTTATGGTACTGTCGTAATTTCTCGTATTTCGGATCGTGTGCTTGTGCGTCTCTGCGTATCCGTCCGAGCGTGCATGCTTGCGTGTGTGTGTGTGTGTGTGCGTTTAGGTCTCATGTCTTGAACAAGTGCTTGTTTCCTTGTTTTTGGGTTGGGTCTACGGATTTTCCTGCGCAACTCAGGAAACAGACCCCTGCGTTCGCCGCGAAGGCCTTGGCTGCAGCTCCATTTCCGGTGATTGCATGATGCGGTGCAGTGCATTCTGTTCCGATATGGTCTCATGGTCTTGTTCGTCTTGTCGGTGCTGTACACGTCCTGCTAGTCTCAGTGCGGGGTGTCCTGTGGTGCCTTGGCAGTTGCTTCGGCACGGGGCCCATGCCAATAATATAGAAGCCTGAATAATTACGAATATTATTGTTAGGGTTCCAATATTGTAATTATAGTATAAGATATCCTAAAACCTATTCTAATAATTATGGCCCCTATCTTATTGAAGCTTTACTGCTGGCTTGCACATGAGGCCCTTTAAGGGCACGGCAGCGATCGGCTCTTGGGCTTGGCCACCCAGGAACGACCTCAGCTTAGGCTGTTTCGGCTGCAAAAATCTGAACTAGTCTCAGCCCCTAAAAATACCAAGCCAGGCATGTCCGAGAGTGAGTGTCAAAAAATACCAATGCTTATAGTATAATGGGCCCCAACATACGGTATACCCTGGAAGGTAAGCTCGGACATGGACAACATGGACCATTCTGGTGACAGCGTGTGGAATGGAACCTCCTCGGAGTCTTGGCTTTGCGTTCAGGGCTTGTGTGGATATCGGGGTGTGCTGGCACCAGGTTGAAGGGGGGGACCTTTCCCATTGATCACCTATGCGGGTGGATGACTCATGTTATCTGTCCTGTCTCTGCAAATCTTATTCTTTGAGGGTTTCCTGTGGGGTGAGTTCGCTCATAGTTGTCTTTATCAGTTGCCACACTCGCGACAACGCCCGCCTTTTCGCGTATCTTGCCGGTGGCGGTTCTAACAGAAGTGGCCCCCTGTGCGGGGCGCAGAGCTCATGATGCTGATCTCGAAACATGTGCGCCAACTTGAGAACATCTCACCTGTACAAGCGGCTCACTACACGACATCCACACAGCAGTACGACGTCAGCGGGAATGACCCAGGCCGGAGAGTCTTCAATCGGTTGAGTGGGCCTCCTCTGAAACCGGTGGAGTCTGAGCACTGAATATCTCGGAGGCTTGAAACATGCTCAGAAATCTGTAATTCTGAGTCCCAGTTGGAGTTTCAAAGGGCCCTCGTACACAAGGACCGCGAGATAGGGTTTATGTATAAGGGTCGCTAAAACCCTACATGTCAGCTGAAAGCTCCCATGTAGATCCAAAAGCTCAGAAGCCAAGGGCAGTGACTACGGCAAGTCGAGCAGGTCCAGGCCGGGACAAGATCTTTGGATATGTCTTTCTGTCTGTATGTCACTGTATGTATGCATGCATGTATGTGTATGTATGTGTGGGTATGTATGTGTGTATATGTATATGATATACACACATACATACATATATATATATATATATATATATACACATGTGTGTGTATGGGTACGGGTAATTCTGGGTATGTGTATGGATACGGGCATATGTTTGTGTATGTGTGCGTATGTAAGTACATGTATGTATATATATATATATATATATTTATTTATTTTACTTTTTTATATGTTATTGTATTACGTATACTGTATCATATCATATAACCGTATATCATATATACATATATATATATATATATATATATATATATATACACACTCAAGCTTTCGCCCATGGGCCCCCGAAGGCTTGGTCTTGCAGAGTGTCTTTTCGACATCAGCACTGGCGATTCGGTCATCGGGGCTTTACGGAGTCTAGAACCTCGAGCAAGAAGATAAACGAAGATCCTCACGTATAGTTGCGGCCTGAAACAGACCCCTACCTACGGGTAAAGTTTCTGCCATTATGGATCGACAGTATGGTCAGTCTCGTGACAGGAGAATGTCTCAAAGGCTCACCATGACGACGCGGAAATCGACGGCGAACATGGAGCGTTGGCGGGCTTCAGGGTATAGTTCTGCAGCAGTGTAGGAGTGAAGATGGTGGTAGTAGTGTTGCTGAAGCACTAGTAGCATTGCCAGTAGTAGCGGGGGATTGGTGCTTAAGATTCTCAGCAGACGAGTTCCGCAAAGCTCAAAGGAACAGCTCGACTGTCTCTCCTTGAAAAGAAGGCCATGTCTGGACATACTGCTGGTGAGTGAAGCCATAGGACAAGTGGCGAAAGCGCTTGCAGAATGCAAAGTCCACGGCCTTCAAGTGCCCGTGCTGGCACAGCCCATGGCGGAATCCCAGGTTACAATAGTCACCTGAATAGTTACCTAAACTATTTGGGGGTTCCTCATTATAATTGTAGTATGATGGGCCCAAAACCCAATTCCAATTATTAAGGCCCCCATATTAACGGCTTTGCGAAATAGTTGGGGTGCGAACGGGTTCGGGCTTGTTGAAGGAGTCCCAACGGCCGAAAGTGATTCGACATTTTTCAATCACGCAGACTCTAGACGAGCAACGCAAAAGGGCATCCATCCAGTAGTGGCGCAAGTTATCCTCTCCTTCCTAGTTGTTCTTCACATGTTAGCTTTGTAGTCTTTAACCCGATGGTTATCATCATGCGGAATGCTGCAAGTCCCGTGACTATTTTGATCCATCGGTCCCTTCCACAGGTCATAGGACCTGCTGTTTGTACAGTTGATCTTTTCCAGTTGAAGCCGAACGTGTAGGTTCTTGTTATGTTCAACCAACGGTGATAAGTTCATTTGCAGTGTCATCTTGTCCCTGGGCTCTTCGCAAACCTTTCTGTTGTTCTAGTTTGCTCTGAGCATTTTTGGAACCGACTCGAGGCTCAGCGGTTCCCGGAATTTGTCGGTGCTTCGGACTCAAGGCAAAGGATACCTTGCTTGACCCATCAGGTCCCATTTCATGTGGGAGATGATAGGACTCATTCCTTCAGATCCATATCTCAGGACCGACAGCTCTGACGTCTATGGTTCGTTCACTCCAAACGGTGGGCTGGGGCTTGAGTTTTGCTTTCGTGGAAACTCTTAACCGTAATTCCACGGACCCTCCTGCGACAGAACAAGCAGTAAGTTCAGGGTTTAGGCAACCTCCAAACCCCCAAAACCCCGAGTAAAGCCGATCTGAACCCCGAACCCGACCCTCAACGATAAGCCTTATAAACTTCGCCTGGACCCCCAAAAGTATGTAGAATAACAGCCCTTTATAGGTTCTGGGCCATTATTTTACTTTGGGGGGCGTCGGTGAACCTCAAGAAGCAGATCACTGAGGCAGCGGCTGCGCGTCAGCGGCGTCACCAGCAGCTTTGCTGGCAGTTGCAGGGGCCAGGGTCAGGGGTGCATTATACAGGGATCATCATAACAAGTACCGTGCTATGCCATGAGGGTTTGGGATCCGAAGTCATGGGCTTTTTTAGACAAGGATCTCATCGTTTATGGAGTCTAAGGGGTCCCCATCGCAACGTCAATCACGCCAAGCTGTTGCATGGTTCCTGCTTGCAAGCTGCGCTCTTTCTTCGCGGGCTCCCACGGACGATTTTCCATCCTACATACAACATACAGTGCGAATCACCGCAAGCAGGATCACGTCTTATATCAGATTTAAACGGTCGTTTGCGGTGCGACAGGGAAGTTTAGGTCGCAGCATTCAGGACTTGTGTAGGGATTTAGTCGGTTATAAGTTATGGCCGACTGCACTGGGACGTACGGATTCTCTCAAACCAGGTCTGACTGCATAGGTCAGCCCCTGCGTGGCCGCACGGTAGCTTGATACGTGTGTTCAAGCCTTCCAGGGCAGTTGGAGCCTTCAACTTCTTAAAGCCACTTCTGCATGCACCGCCCCTCCAACCCTGCAGCTTTCCAGGGAAGGCCCTAAACCCTAAACTAAGGCGTCGTTGGCATTCTCTTGGAGGTTGCCTCAGCTAGCTGCTTCCTCATTGTGTCTGAAACACATGCAGCCTACGGCGACGACGATGAGGAGCACGTAGGCCCGCGAGGGCTAGGGTCTTCTCTGCTGTGTTACTGAGCTTGGGTGAGCTCAAAATCTGAAACCTCTAAACGCATCTACAATGCGTGGCTTGTCCCAGAGTGAACGCCGAATAACATCTAAAGGCCTTGTTTCATCTTAGACCTGATCAAAGTAAATGCCCTCGTGCCGAAGACACAGATCCTCAGACATGTTCATCTCTGGTCTTTCGGAGCCTTGAGCTAGCACCCCTGCTAGTAGCTTGTAGAGTAACCGTTATAATTATTTCACTCCATATAGTATCCTGTAACGCCGTCTCTCATAGTAACCTGCACTGTTTTTGCAGGTGATCTATTCCGGTCTCTGTCGTTGACGTCGCTCGCCTGCATTCGACTGAAGAGGCTTTCGGCATCGCATCCCGATTGGCTCTTCCAACTTGGATACCCAAGTAAAGCCACGCAAGTCACACAGTCACTCAAGCGACCAACTTGGCACTGTCCGAAGTCTCGTGAGATTTGGGACTCTTCACCGGAGCTTCCCTGGCCAGGCTTGGTGGGATGCCCCATGCTAAGTCTCTCAGCATCCAGTCCCACAACCCTCAATCTCAAGCTTGAGTGCAAAAACCCGACATAGCTGCCCCAGATTCGGGAAGGCACAGCAGAAGGCTCAAACCCTAGGCTGCTGCATCTCTTGAATCTTGGCCCTGCATGACAAGGCTCCAAAAAACAACAAAGCCCAAAATGCAAGCCTGCCCAAGTGGAAGACCAGATCATCGTTCTAAGTTCTAAGTTTTGTGCTGCTGTTGCCGGCCCTGTTCCCTACGATGGCTGCTCGGTGTGCTGCAGAGCTCGCACGAGGACTATCACCATGTAACTCTTGAACATGCGGAAGCAGAGCAGTCGAGCCAGTCCGAGAAGGAATCGAACTAATTACCGTCCAGTGGAGCTCGTGGAAGATCCCGTATCTTAGTAGCTGAGTGGATACACTTTGCACTTCTTGGGGTAATATTACCCACTATACAATACACTAAAAGTGTACCCTTTTTGGGGCTTATGAACGCAGCAACTAAGTTATAGGTTATTGTGCCTAAAGGCAGCAAGCGATACTCATAGACATAGTTACAGCCCGGGAGCCTCCCTTGGCAACAGTGTTGGCTGAAACAGCGACCGCACCGCAACTTACTGACAGCTGAAACACTCAGAGGTCAGAAACTCGGTGCTTGTGGTTGTTCCTCAAGCCCGAAATCCGTCCAAGGTTTCTTTTACTTGGCTTGGTGGCCTTCCTTCTCGCGCTGCTCCCCACCGACCGCCGGGCGGTACCTGGACAGTAGAGAGATCAAGGTTAGCTTCCGGTTTCGCGGTAGTCTTACGCATCAGGCGGACGCTGTGAAAGTCGAAATAAAGGGTGATGGCCTTGGTTCTAACAGCTTCGATTGGGCACCGAGACGGTCAAGAAGGCAGGCCAATGGCTTGGCGCAGCAGAGTCCAAGTATGAAGGATTGAGCACTACCGAGGCTCCCACACAAAAAAACGTCTGGAAGCTTCTCCGGATGTGGTTCGTTTAAGCTTCCTTTCGTGGCACCTATTTGACAACTGCTTCGCCTACAATTACTTAGGATGCCTATGGTGTGCCAACGGCCAAGTTACACGAAGTTTCCTTCAGGCCCTAAGGCCAAAACGCCACTAAACCACAAGACGAGATCACTACTTAGCCCGAAGCCCGAACCCCCAAAGTAAATCCCCTCAGACATGCCTGTCCGAGTGTGAGCGCCGAAACCCCACAAAACCCTGAATCCCTAAACTACTCAAATGCGGGCTTCGTCCTTGCTGAGTAGGCGGGAAAAAAACTACTCAACAGACTCCGAACCACATGCCTCGCCTGGATCGTCGGAGTGTGAGCGCCGAATCCCCATAAACTCTAAACCCTCAAACCCCTGCTGCGAGGTGCCCGTCGGCGCGACCATCCTGATAGTCATGATCATCATTTGGGCCCCTTGTTGCCTGTTGGCGGCTGAAACTTGTTCAGGAATTGCTATAAAAAGGGATCTGCACCAAATACAAGTCAAAACGTTTCCTTATCATGGTAAGTTAACTTCAGTTCCAAAACAAGAACCCAGTAATTTCTTCGGGATTTGGGGTTCAGATTCTGGAGTCGTGGGCCTTGGAAAAGTGTATCTGCAGACGGCAGGCCGTCCTTTCCTGAAGTGCCCTTCTTTTGCTTCTCCTAAGACTCCAAGTATACAAATAGTACAATCATTGGGGTCTAAAGTTTAAGAAAAGGTACCTACTTTGGGTTATTTGGAATCTTAGTCTCGACGAAGCAAGCATTCATGTCTTGTTATTTTTGCTCCTTGCATCTTGCATCATGGACATGGAAGCGGCCTCGGTGTTTTTGGAATTCCTGACATTCTGGCTGCCGTGTTCTGGCCTGAAAGGGACTGCAGTTGGACCTGTTTTGGTTTGCATGGCGTAGCTCGGCAGGGCTCTACACTCAGCCTCCGCTGCGGGTGAAGTGTTTCTGGCTTCAGTGTCAGGCCTTCCCTAAGCCCACGATGCCGCGCGGACACTCGAAATCAGGAATTAAATCAGGAAGCCCGAACAGATAAGTCTCTGAGCACATCTCAGAGAAATTGGGCCGAGGTCAGCATTGCAGTGAACTTCTCGGTGAACCTCCTCTTGCATCCTTACACGGCGGAGCCCTGGCTGCAGCAACTGGCGCATCGGCCGTTCCTAGAAACCGGCCACATAATCATAATTCTAACAAGGAAGAGTGCACCAAAGGAAAGCCGAAATGCTTCATCTCATGAACCGGAATCAGGTTGATTCTAAATGCTTCTAGGGATTTCGCACTGCGGCCTTATCAATTGCCCTTTCCATCTGGTCTCTACCAAGCAGACGGAGGCTTCATTCAGGCAGGTGACTCGAGCATTGAGGCCAGTTATTGTTCTCTGTGAGCTGAGGCTTTCAGAAGGCGTTAGGCTTGAGAGCACAAGCTGCCCTAGAATCCGATCCTAACCAAGGATGACACGAAGGAGAAGCCTGGCTACCCGATAGTCGAAGGCTGGAGCCTCGGGGTGAAAAGCGGGCTTAGAGTCTTAAAGCTCTGCAAGATTTAACGAGCCATGCGATCTCATTGCAGCATCCATCTAGTCTGTCACTTCAAGTCAGGAAAGGGTATGCCAGCGATTGAAAACTCGCAGTGCTATGCTTCTATGGGCTTTCGTACCTCTACTATACAGTAGTAATGAAGCATAGACAGGGAAGCAGGTCGGTTCGCGGCAGTGGAGTTTCTGGATTGGCGATGCGGGCCTCGGGCTGGGGATCACGCTTGAAGCAGCAATGCCACAGTTGCCAACTTCACAAAGAGCCTAGGGAGACTATATCATCGCTATTGAACCTTATCATCCGTCGTCCCGAAGAATCTTTTGGGAATTCGGCAGGGACGCTTAAACTTCCTGAGGCGATGGAGGAATTTATACTCGAGCTTCAGCAGCCGTAAGGTTTACCCCTGTGAGGTTGCATTGCCCTCACTCTGGCCTCTGCTGGTCTGTGCACTGCGGTGTACTTGATCCACGAGGCCCTTCAACAAGTTTCTGATGTGCATTCCAAGCCAAACACGGTGCCTGAGATTTTATCCGTGCCTGTTGTGCAACTACTTGTATGACGACGGCCTCGGCGACAAAACCGCTGCTATTACTACAATGACGACGACAGTGACTGCTGCGACTGCGACTGCGACTGCTGCTGCTGCTACTACTACTACTACTACTACTACCACTGCTACTACCACTGCTTCTGCTACTGCGACTACCACTGCTGCTGCTGCTGCTGCTGCTCCAGCTACGGACGACGACTACTAATACTACTGCGACTCCTACTGCTGGTGCGTGGTACTGCTACTGCTGCTACTCCTGCACTAATACTGTTCTAGTGTTTGCCGGAGTCTTGCCGAATGCATCTCTGGCTTAATCTGGCGTGCCCAAACTTGAACATACCCTGTGCGTTGCCTGACCGATTTCTCTTTCGAGCGCTGCTGCTCAACACATGTGTCAAGCTGGCAGCTAGCGGCAGCTTACAGTTGTGTTTGGACTTCGGCTTAGGCTTCTCTAGCTCATCTCCGGAGCTGTATAGAACCAAAGTTCTTGGTCCCGTGCACGCGTAGCTTGGATTGCCCAAAGGTGAGTGGGAATCGGAATCCCTTCCAACAGTTGCTAGCTGCCAGCAGGTGACCTGCCGGCGGAGGATGCCCAAGCGCCTGCTCGCACGACTCTTGTGCTGAGGAAGAGTCGCAGTATGGTCTCTTTTGGCATGGCTGGCCTTAGAGGTGACGGCAACAGCACCACGGACCAACGTCATGCTCAGTGAGAAGTTTCTGCCATCAAAGTGAGGAATGTGGCATGCCTGTGGTGTATTCTTCCTCATCGTGGCGGTAGGGACAGGCTCCTGCACATAGGTACATGAAGCCATCAGCAATCGTCTTTTGCAACCTGCAAAAGACGATAAAAGACGGCTGTATCGCTTTCAACAGAGTGGTCTCGCCCGGCACAGGGTAGCCGTTGACCGCTGCTGCAGTCATGCGAAGCATTCGGTGCAGAGGCTGCTGCCTCCGAGGTCTTAAACTCAGCCATAGGCTGGTCAGCCTGACTTTGCGGATCTTTCCGGATGACCTTCACAGACCCCGTCCCAATGCACCGGTAAAAGTGCTCCTCCCCCGCTCTCCAAACAGGCACCTATGTCGTCTTCGAGTGCATCCGCAGCGGTGCGGATGGCCTTTACTACGTACACCTGCCTGTTCCTGTGTTCAGGGTTCGGGGCCCGGAAGTAGCAAGCCTGTTGAAAACAAGAGTTGGGGATCTGCCACTGGGAGCAGGAAAGCAACCCTTCCTGTTACAAGGCGCCGACTGCTTGGTAATAGACTGTTAAACACGCATTTCCAACTGGTGCCTCTTGTAGTTGTTGTGAGGACTTTAGGATGTGAGTGCCCTTAGCTCGGGCTCTTCGCTAGCGGCTAGCGTTGTAATTACCGACATCAACTGACACACCGTCTTGCACGATACCGAGCTTGAAACAAAGCTCCATGCATGTCCCTAAGCCCTATCTAAGACCGGATGCAAGCCTCAGCCAAGCAAAAGCCCGATTGCGAAACAGCGTGAGAGACCAACCGCTGCAAGTAGTCTAGTAAAGTATACTATACTATACACCATACTTACTATGCCATGCTTTGTGGGCCAGGTGTCGGCGATGATGACCGCTTGCATGTGCGCACGCGTCGCCCGCAATCCAGACTTCCGGCCATGGGTTCAGCGCCTGGGCTCGGGCTGGTGTTTTCTTTCGGCTGACGGTCAAATCAAAGACTGCAAGTCCAGCCTTTTCTACTGCTAGACAAGGGACTGTGGCCCTGACTGTCATGGGTTGACTACCCAAGGTTCATTAGGCTTGATGCAAGACCCAAATCCGAGCACTAGCACCATAAAGCCCTGAGCCGATGTGGATGTTTCGGGCTTTAGGGGCTCGCAGTCTGACGGTCTAAGGCTAAGGCCCTTTGCATAGGTTTAGAGGTCGGTTCTTTTCATCTACCACCACAAAGCTTGAACGCCATCATGCCCGACGTGCAAGCCATGAACATTTTGTTTGGTGTGACACCTAAAGCTGGGCGATCAACTTGGCAGCAGTCATTCAGTGAAAACTCGCGATCCCGACACAGTAGCTGAAAGCCTCCTACCTGACCCAAGGAGCTACCTCGGCAGCCGTGCCGAAGCTGCCGGCTCAGCTGCGGCCGTAGCCGCGCTTGTTGGGGACAGCTCCGTCGACAAGGTACAGAAATAACAGCCATGCAATGCGTTTAGCTCATATGATTATAGGACCGGACCAGTCATGTGCTTGGGGTGGAGGGGCGAGTCTGAAGTTTTCAATTTCGGGGCCGTAGCTTTCGATTTCTTTGTGGGTTTCAGTGTGCATCGTGCGGTGTGCAGTCTAGATTTGGGAGTTTCCGAAAATAGGGGACCAATATAGTACCCCAAGTAGTAGGATCCTTATCATAAGGACCCCAAAACAAGGCACCCCTAATTTTCGTAGTTTCCAAGTCGGCACTGGGAAAAACACGCCGGTCCTGAACGTTGTGGCTCTTGTTCCTTCCGTCTACAGTAAGCATCAAAGAAGGCAACACGAGGGACAGCAAGGAAACCTGGGTGGACCTGGGGTTTCGGAGTGCTTAATTCTGCACAAAGCGGTCGGTCACCTCCCAAAACACAGAGATTTGAAGTGTCACACGCAGGTGCTGGAGATGGCCAGGATGCATTTTCACACCGTCCGGGCAGATCAGATCTGCTTCGAGGATGCCTCGGGCTAGCGGCTAGTGCTTCCGAGAGCTCGTTGTTGGCGACAGCTGGCAAGTAGACGATAGTAGACGCAGCTAGACGCATATTTGGGCTGATTTAGGCATAGAGGTGACTTTTTCTTTCCCTCCTGAAAGGTGCATGTCTTGCATCTTCGACATGGCAAAGGGATCAGATTGCTAGGTCTCCCACACTGCCGGCTTTAAGCACGCCATAGGGACGACACCCTCACATGTGTTCTGCCAGAGTTGACAGCATCTGCAGTAGATCGAAACTGTACAAAACATAGCAAAGATACAACACCGCCCCTCACCCCAGAGATGAAAACATGCAATCCCTGGACCTTGCTTTGCGGGGAGTTTTAAAGGGACCACCAGATATGTCCCGTGTGGCTCCTACCAGTTTCGTTCTGTGTGATGAACCCTTTGATCACTAAGTGGAGTTTCACTTAGCAAGGAAAGGGATGTAATATAAGTCCATAGGGATACCACACTCTTAAGAGGCATGGCCTGGCCATCAGTGTGTGCTGTTCGGGCTTGTCTTGAGGATATGTGTGCTTGTGCCCTGACCTGCCGAGTGCGGGCGTCGGAGAGGGTTGGAAAAGAAAAACAAATGTATATATATATATATATACATATATAATATGTATATGTATTTCATATATCTGTTTGTGTTTGTGTGTTTGAGTGTGTGCCTTTATCCGTCTATAACCTACACATGCACACATCTCATATCCTAAAACCCTGGCAGATCCAAGCCCTGGCCTTTTGGCCGTGGTTTGGCTTTTGCCACAGTTTTGGGCGATGGATCTGTCATTTTCTGGGGGGAAGGAAGAGCAAAAGGGAGAGGACAAGGAGGAGGAGGAGCAGGAGGAGGAAGAGGAAGATGACGATCAGGAAGTAGCTGTCGTTGTGAAGGGCTGCTTAGCCGTCAGCAGATTGTCTCCGCAGCAATTATTGGCCACCCGGTTTCATGAAAGATCAGGTTCCGGGCTGGACATTCGCCCTCCTCATGAAAATCCTCTTAGATAGCCTGACAGCATGGGTTTCCACGTCGCTCGTGCTGAGGCTGCTTGAGAGGAAAGACATTTGAAACCTGAACCTTTACAAATACCGCAAAGGTTTCCCAGAACACTTAAGAAGTTCCTCTTCAGACCTCTCCTAGTACTGCCGAGAGCGAGTGTCTTAAAAACCCTAGAGCCAAAAGCCCTAAAACCTTAAAACCCCAAACCCCAAAAAGCAAAACCCTAAACCCGTAAAACCCTAAAGCCCTAAAGACCCTAAAATTCCTAAAGCCCTAAAGACCCGTAAACCCTGAAGACCCTAATCCGGAGCTTCCAGGACCTGGAAAGCAATGAGCCCGATGCGGAGATAGGGATGAAGTCCCGGAAAACTCGCCTTGGTGAGGTGCTACCGCCTTTGAGCGCCTTCGAGGGGGGTCGGTTTAGGGTTCGGTTTGGGGGCTTAAATCCCTGTTCAAAGCAACTGACCTTCCGTTCGTTGGTATCTAACCTTCTGACCTTTTCGTTTTGGGAGCATTAAGGGGCTTTGAAAGCAGGATTTAAAGTGAGCATTGAAGACCATGAACAGTGAACAGTGGACAGCAACAGCAGCAAATGCAGGAGCAGCAGCAGCCGGAACAGATTGCAACTTGGAATGGGGGTGGGGCAGGGAAAGCTCATCAACGATGTCATGAATATATTGTTGCCAGAGGGAATATACACGACACTGTTCTCTGTAGTAGTAGTAGTAGTAGTAGTAGCAGCAGCAGCAGGAGTAGTAGTAGTGGTAGTACCAGCAGCAGCAGGAGTAGTAGCAGCAGCAGCAGGAGTAGTAGCAGTAGTAGTAGTAGTAGTAGTAGTAGAAGTGGTAGTAGTGGTAGGTGGTAGTTGTGGTCGTCATGGTAGTTGTAGCGGTAGTGGTAGTGGTAGTGAAAATGGTAGTGGTAGTAGTACAGGATAAAGTGGTAGTAGTAGTAGTCGTAGTACTAGTAATAGTCGCAGTAACGACACTGTCCCCTGTCCAATGTGCATGTGCTCGCGCGCGCTGTTGACTGTGCTCGCCCACGCTGCGCGCGCACTGCGCGCACACTGCGCGCACACTGCGCGCACACTGCGCGCACACTGCGCGCACGCTGTTGCCTGTGCTCGCACACACTGCGCGCGCTGTTGCCTGTGCTCACCCACGCTGCGCGCGCTGCGCGCGCACTGTTGCATGTGCTCGCACCCGCTGCGCGCGCACTGCGCGCGCGCTGTTGCCTGTGCTCGCACCCGCTGCGCGCGCACTGCGCGCGCACTGCGCGCGCACTGCGCGCGCGCTGTTGCCTGTGCTCGCACACACTGCGCACGCTGTTGCCTGTGCTCACCCACGCTGCGCGCGCACTGCGCGCGCACTGTTGCCTGTGCTCGCCCACGCTGCGCACGC